CCAACTTCCTTCAGTTTTGAGATACTCATCACAAATTGTTACAAATGATGTAGAAACGTTCAACAAGAGTGAAATTGTGCATTTCTCACAAGATTAACAAAATCATACACCGAATAACACAAACTCAAATGAAACAAAATTTCCACATTTTTTTTCAATTCTCTGTTACTCGTCTCGAATTTATTTCGAAAATTTTAAAAACTCATGAATATATCACCATGCCTCACATGTTTCACACGAATTCCTTAATTCTTCATGCTTCATGCTTCAAACACAAAATTGAGGAATTTCCAAAAACTTCCTTCAGTTATGAGATATTCATCACAAATTGTTACGAATACTGTAGAAACGTTTAACAAGAGTGAAATTGTGCATTTCTCACAAGATTGACAAAAAGTGTAGAAACTCATGAATATATCACACATTCTCACATAATTCACAGGATTCTTTAATTCTTCTCATAATTCATGTATCACAAAACTAAGAAATATCCATCAACTTCCTTCAGTTTTGAGATACTCATCTCAAATTATTACAAATAATGTAGAAACGTTTGACAAGAGTGAAAATGTGCATTTCTCACAATTCTTTCCATAATTCACGCCTCAAACCCAAAATTAAGGAATTTCGAAGTCGGATGTATTGCCATTATGTGATATTTTTTTAAACTTTCGCACCACAAATTTAGAGATATATAACTTAGACTCGGCACATTATTACACTGCACCTGGATTATCTTGGGATGCTATGTTGAAGTATACGAATATCGAATTGAAATTACTAACTGACATTGATATGATTCACTTTTCTCAAAAAGGTATACGAAGTGGAATTAGTCAGTGTAGTGAGAGGAAATATATAGCAAATAATAAATTTTCACCCAATTATAATCCCAATAAACCTTCCACATTCATCACATATTTAGATGCAACAAATCTATATGGTCATAGTATGTCACAACCTCTACCAACAAGTGAATTTACATAGTTGACACCTAATAAAATTCTTAATCTTGATGTGATGAATGTGGGTGCTGATAGTCCGTATGGGTATGTGTTTGAAGTGGACATTCATTATCCACAAGAGTTGCACGATAAACATTCTGATCTTCCATTTTTAGTCGAAAAATTAATACCACCTCGTACACAATCGAAAATTCCCAAATTAATTCCAAATTTGAATGATAAAAAAAATATATTGTTCATAATAGAAATCTACAGCAAGCCATAATAAATACACATAGAGTATTGAAGTTCAAACAATCACGTTGGATGAAACCCTATATAGATCTTAATACTGAAATGCGTAATAGGTCTAACAACAAATCTGTTGAAGATTTCTATAAACTAATGAATAATGCGATATATGGAAAGACAGTGGAGAATGTTGATAACATAATTGATGTTAGACTCGTTACACATTGGAAAAATATGAAGAAAAATATAGGTGCCAGCACTCTCTCATATCCAGACCAAATTTCAAAAATTGTTCAATTTTCACAGATACTTTCGGTGCCATTCAATTGGGTCCATTACGATAAACCATTATATTTGGAATTTTCTATATTAGAATTATCTAGAACAGTCATGTATGACTTTTTCTATGGATGCATCAAACAATAGTCTGGTGAAAATGTTTCTTTACTTTACACAGATACCGACTCGCTCATTCTGAAAGTAAATACAGAAAATTTCCATGAAATCATGAAAACTAACATGAGTTGGTTTGATACATCCAATTACAGTATAGTTGACCAATTCAATATTCCAGTAACAAGTTCAGTCTTGGGTAATTTCAAAGACGAATTTCCGAATGATCCAATCATGAGATTTTATGACACAGGTGCAAAAGCGTATTATGTGAAATCTGTTGATGGTGAATTTAAGGAAGCTAAAGGGGTGAAACGATCGATTATAAAGAATGAATTGACATGCGAAGATTACCAAAAAATCGTCGAACATAGTGGTATGATCTGTTTAAAATCTGTTTGAAATCTGTTTTTTCGTTAACCAGCTGTCGCACCCCTACGAACGACAACCCTCAGAAGTCGAAACTTGTGCGAGCTAAGGATTAACGAGGTCTTACCTTTTAACGAGTGATTCCTAGCACGGGTTAGACGATAGCGAGTGAAGATCGATCGTTCAGACTAGGGCTTGAACCACTGACCAAAACGGCAGTCAATTCGAGTGAGTGAACAAAGCACCCACGCCGAACCGCTTGGCTACCAACCGATAGATATTCAGAAAGATGAATTCATTTAAAAGCGTGTGGCATGATATGTATACTGAATTGAAGAATAAAGTTGCATCATCATACCACGACGATGAACGATTTATCATTCCGAATACTACCCACACTCTTCCTTGGGGTCATAATGATATTGAATTTTATCAAAACGATCCGAATGATAACATTCGTTGGATAACTAATATTATTCAACATTCAACACACTGGATCAAATATTTAATTTATTGTCTGTCGAGATCAATGACTGAAATACCATTCAATGTCTTAAAAACCTGAAAATTCAATATTGATGTTTTTGTAGGTATTCATAAATAAAACTGTCATGTGATTTTCAATGTATTGTGTATGTATATGTATTACTTTGATGAATATAAAAATGATGAAATTTTTTTTTCATTTCTATTTATCTAACCGATTACTGCAATAATGTAAATGAAAGAAATATCAGTTTGAAAAGAATCATCGTGGGGTGCACAATGTCTATCACAATAGATAAGTTTGGTAGAAAAAGAAAATGGGGTGGCAATGTCATTCGAAGTCCTCCCGGTAATGGATTTAAATTAACAAATGAAGGTCATTATGACATGCAAAGAAAAATATTGAAAAATACAAGCGAACCAATTGACAAGAGTGATTGTTTAACTGTATCATATCTTGAGGGGGAAATTAATGGAACAAAGGATGTCATACTTCTAGCCCTACAAGCTGCAATACAATCAACAATAAGTAATGTTGCTCGCGATGCACGTCTCCATTCCTACACAATGTCGAGTGCTGATTTCACCACTGAACCGATGAGTGTACCAGAGTATTGTATGTCGAGTACATGAAATACATGAAATACAGGTACATGAAATAGATTCAACGTTCGATCATTTCAGTGCAACCTTCGAACAATTTCTGCATCGCATCTATGATCTTCCTGATGATTTCCAGAAACGTATAGCAAAGGTATGCAAGAGGAAGTAGATACAGAGTTAGAGATGAGTGTCGACGAGTTAAACGATCTAGAGGATAACGAGCTAGATGATTATGCAGACGATGTCATTGGTATATCGTCTGATACAGATGATTATGAGGACAACATCATCAATATATCATCAGATACAGATGATTCAGATGACGACACCATCATCATGGTTTTTGGAGTGTTAGTCCATACCATTGCATGAATTGATAAAAAACAGCCCTTTTCAGGGCTACAATTGAAGACTGAAACAAAAACAGCTCTTTTCAGAGCTATCATCATACTTTCAAACAGAAACAGGTTCATATCATTGTTAACATAAGGTTAACATTATAGTCTCAAACAAAATGTATGTAAGTACCATCATTCCACCCTGTTCTACTCACCATTGTTAACATAAGGTTGAAATTATAGTCTCAAACGAAATGTATGTAAAAGTACCATCATCTCACTCTGTAGTACTCATCATTATGTGCATATATCTTCAATGATTGACAAATCGCCAACTTCAACTTTCAGTTAAAGTAGTACTCATCATATGCACAGATATTCAATGACTAGCAAATTCCCAACTTCGACTTATTTAGTCAAAGTAGTCATTTGTAACATAATCTGTGAATACTACTACTACTGTTGTATGAATAATGTTGCCCTGAAAAGGGCTGTTGTTTTTTTGACCAGTAGGTCCACGGTTATTGTGTCACAGGTTTGACATTATTGCATATTATACATGTTGACACTCGGATGAAGTTTGTTAGGGGTCTCTCGTAAGCATCGCACCAATTCTGTCACATATCCATCATAGAAACGGTGCTGTGGGTGTTGATATGATGATACCACTCTCCATTGTTGTTTCTAATGGAACAAAAACGAAAACAACACCAACATAGCTTTCTGATGTTGTCATCAATTGTTCTGATCTGCACATGTGCGTCCATCGCGCAATATGAATCCATGGGATCTTCTAATGTGTCGGTGATGTTGAGCAATTGGCGACCGATTCTCAAACCACCTTCATCATCGCCTCCACAACCATCCACGATCATCTCAAGCTCCATCACGTCATCATCTTCGTCGTTTTCATTAGCCTCGTTTTCATCTTCGTCGATTTTGTTATCCTCGTTTTCATCTTCGTCGACTCGAAGGTCAATCTCCTCTTCATCGACTCCAACATCTTCTTCAACTATCACTTCCTCTAGCGGAATGTTGGCATCCTCTTCATCTCCTCATCCAATTAATTATATGCATCAACAGCAGATATTCTATTTAATGCAGCAACTATTTTTTCAGTATTCATCTTGATGTTTTCTCACAGTTGCAGAGTGAATGAATGAACTTCAGGATCGCAAGTCGACTTATATAATTGTATAGGTAGTGGTGGTGGTACGACTCCCACTTATCACTTGACTCGTTTTGAGTGGAAGAGAAGGAGAAGTTATCCCACTATACTGTCACATGATGTTAATTTGTATAAATATCGGTAAAGGAGAGAGCAGTCAGAGTTTCTATAAGTCATCTCCTAATATTTCTAATCGAATTAGTAAAATGCCGTTTCCAAAAGAGTGGAATGAAAAACCAAAAGTGTGCGTCTACCCAATGATGATTGCGGGGGCTATTGTGTGCTACTTTTGCCAAATAAGTAGACCTAAGGAAACAATCAATCCATGCACTGGTAGTGCAGTCACAGTGCCTGAAGTGTTCCGAACCTATAATATTCAATAATATGGGTATTTGTAGAAATATTTGTAGTACCTGTGCTGCTGTTCCAGCTCCGCTGCAACGGCATACTCAATAAATTGTTGGAATCATGTATGCACTACATGTAGAAGTACTTTGGATCTATGTGAGATGGTTGGTCAACTCTACCCCAATAGGAGAATTCATTTCCCTCAATGTTGGTGTCTCACACATGAACAACAAATATTGAGGAGGAAAATCGAAGAACGTTCCTTATCAACAGAGACACATTAACACTTTTGATATTTATTACCGTTATTGTCCTCTGTTAATTATAAATATATTATTTTGAATCTATTCGTATTATTTTCTCACGTTTTAAAAATGCATACAACACAAAGTGTCCCTCTTGAATGACAAAAATCGTCACATGCGTGAACAGTTTAGTGAAAGAGCGCATGTGCCAGTTGATTAAAGAGCGCAGGCGCTAGTTTATTTTATTCTGAGAAAGGTAAAGTAGCAGTAACATCATCACCTTTCCTATTAACATTCTATTGCTATCACATATCGTTCCTCAGACCTAAATAATCATTATCATGAGATCTATGCCGCCATTGATTGCTGAAGATGGTTCACCACTTGTTGATATCGATCACACTGATTTTGAAAATATTCCACTATAACATTTATCGAGTTAAGAGTCGATAAATGATTGTGATATTAACGACTTCACCAATCTTGCAGATGTGCCGGAACCAATTGAGCAAATTGTTGTTGAAAATCCAATCGTTTCGCAATTATCACCACCAAAATACAAAGTGTACCTAAAGAAATGAAGGGTGATTTGAAAGCTGAATCGCTATCTTCTTTCAGTCCACTCATCGGTTTGGAGATATGAAAAAGAAAGCAGAATGCCGCCTTGTAAATGCACAGATGGCTATTGCTGAACACGAAAAAAGTGAGCGAGCTATTAATGGTAATGAGGAAACTCTTCAAGCATTAGATGCCGAGATTGCATTAGCTGAGTGAATTGGTTGAAATGTGTTAAGATGCAGATGAACTCCGTTCAAAAATTGTGAAAGATCAATTCAATCAACGTTCGAAAATGCATGCGAATTTTAACAATCATGAAGAGCTCCGTGGTAAAGTTCGCAGTGTAAGACTTTTCAAAAATATTTTTGTACTTGCTTATACGTACAATATCATTCAATTGGAGTTTGGGTTCACTTTGTTTTCCTCCAATTCCTTCCATACCTTTGAATTTCAATTTTGTTGTTGAAACAACATTGATGGGTGCCATACCTATTGTACGATGAACTTTATTGTTATATCTACTAGTTATAGTTGGAAGAATATCAAGCCATTTGTGGTGACCTCTCATCGAAAATTCCTTGTAGAGCCATGCCCTTATTGTACGAATCACTCTTTCTGCTAAAGCCGCTTTATTTGTGCTAAATGTTGAATAATGATTGATATTATATTGAGAAGCTTCTATTAAAAAATTCTTTTCCTTGATCGCTTTGTATATGTTTGAGGAAAAATTTGGCTTCCTTCAGTAAATGTTTCATTGCATTAGTTATTGTACTACCTGTTTTATCTTTAACTGCTACAGTCCACAGATATTTTGGGTAACAATCAATCACTACAAGTATATATCGGTATCCTTTATTACTTTTTGCGTAAGGTTGTAGTTCAGCTAGATCTATTTGCCATAGATCTGCAAAACCTTTGATGGTGGTTATTCTTCTGCGAAAATTACGTCTTAGAGGTCTATGTAATCCATTAAGAACTTGTCGTTTGGCATCACTTATTTCATTAGTTATTCTATTTCAATGCGATTGAAGAGAAAAGGTGATAATGTTACTGCATTGAATGATGATGTGATAGTGATCATTACTTGTGAATATTTCTTCAATTATTGAAATCATTTCATTGTCATGTCCAGTATGCCCAGCTGACTTTGAAGCCACCAATAGTCATAAGCGAGCAACTAACTCTTTCGGTGAATTCCAATACACATAATTCACAGGTTTAGAATTATATCCGTCATTAATTATATCCATTTTCACTTGTTTGAGTGCTCCACCAATTTTACCTCTACTTCTTATTGGATATTGTGGTGAGTCTAATAGAGGTTTGATTACTTCACGTAATTTTTCGGATTTGTCTTTTTATAACCATTCTTCAAATGATATTATTTATATGGAGCATTCGTCATATTCAATATTTTGGAATATACTTGACAAATTTCTTCATTATCAACATCTTGCGGATTCTTCAGGAAGATCATATCATACAAGTCTGGACTACCTGCGCATTCATATTTTTTCACTTAATTAGCATCCCAAAATGAAATGTTTCCATCTTTGCAATGTACCACTAGACTTTCCATTTTCAGCTTTTGTGTAATAGGATCCATGCGTACACCAAATGTTCCATCATATGCTGAATTTCTAGATTTTACATTATTCAAATGTTTCGCCAAAACACCTTCACGAGTTTCATTCATATTAAGCGAGGAGTCAAGATCCGAGAAATCGATGTGGAACGATGATGGTGTTTCGGATAGAGTTGTTCTCATATCGTCTTGAAGTGTGCTCGTGTCACTATTCACACTACCAAAAGATTGTTTTTTTCCTATTGGAGTACTCATGGGATAAATTGAAGTAGATTGAACATTTCCATGGTTTGAAGATAACACTGATGCATTTCCATGTTTTGACGATAACACTGATGATTTTGAAGTAGCGTTTGATGATAAAACATTCAATGGTTTCGTTATGGGTTCATAACGATATCTACCTTCATCTTTTTTCTGTCCTTATCAATAGAAAACCATGTTGGTCCTCCCAAAATTGAACACACATCAATTGGAATTGCCTGAATGTTACGTCGGGTGATACATGATCTGAATAAATGTGGTGTCTCATCTTGTTTGAACATTATGATGAAATTGGTATTGTCACGCACTAATTGTTTGGATACCCGTGAATATGTCTGTGCGAGATAAAAACAATCAACATCCTTATGACGTCCCAAACAGAAATATGATCTAATAATATCCTGCTTTTCACATATCACATCATCGAAAATGAAAACAGAATTAGGCTTAGCGTCGGAGGGTTCCACTATTTCTGCATTATTGCTGAATGTATAAAAACCTAATCCTTTATAGGTTCCAAAACATTTCGCAAGTACTGATATTTAGGTTGATTGAGTGATTTCGAATAGAGATACACATTTCTAAATCTCAGTCCTTGTGGATGTGTTAATAGTGATATCATTGCATTCGTCTTTCCACAATTTGAAGGTCCTATAATGAGTCCTCGAACTGATGATGGAAGTAGTGGACCATGTCTGAATTAATTACTCTTTGTCCATTCAATCCATACCCAAATGTCTCATCTAGAGCAAACTTTTTTTCTGTTTTACAATGCGCATCGTGCCGTGGTTGAAGACTATTTAAATGTTATTACCTCATTCATTTCAATGTGTACCATCAAACGTATCGTAAAATTGAAAGAGGTTGTGATTTTGTTAATGATTTGATAAACAAACTTCCTATCGAATTACATATACCCGGAGGTTATCAATAAAATTTAGATGGAATAAGTGGACCAGGAACACATTGGGTGGCATATAAAAAATTTGGATTAAAGAAGTTGCATATTTCGATAGTTTCAGAGATCTACCCCCACCATTGGAATTGACTCGATTCTTTAGAAAATGTTCGAATGTAAAAATCAAATATAACTATGATCGTTAGCAGGAATTTAATACAGTTCTCTGTGGTCACTCGTGCTTACAGTTTCTCTCTGAATAATTTTTCAAATAAAAATGGATACAACACCAAAACTGGATCGGGAGACTCTCAAGGCAATGGGGTTTTCACTTAAGATGTTTTCAAAATATGATACCTTGAAAATAATGAATGAAGTGATGCTTGCAAATATGCCCAAGGAAGTGATACTTGCATGTGTTGCACATGAGATTGCATATGTTTGAGAAAAGTTACCCTAAAATCTACAAGATGACATCGACATAATGGAATATAGATATTGTTACGAACACCACCCCGATGAAAATTCAGATTTCGATGTGATTGATGGTCTTATACCTCGAAAATCTGTATGTTGTATTAGTAATATGGAGAATATGAATATCGATATCAATGAAAATGATATGTATTACAATACAACACTTTCGAAATAGTGTAAATTGTCTCAGATGTGCTGTTACTGTACACAACAATGAATTGAAATGTGTTTCAAATAATTCATCAGTCATGTCACGAAAGTTCGTGCAACAAGCTGTCGGGATGAGTGTCTTGAGTGAGGATTTTTTCCCACCTATTGGATTATGGATTAGAACTTTTGAGATTCTATGGATGCAATACAATCAATAATATAACTGAAGCTAATAATTTAATGAGTTTCAGAATCAGTAAGGACAACTCATCGATACTCCAAAAGTACACAATTGAAATTCCATGTAGTGCTTACGAAATAGAAGAGATCAATGCCGTTATAGAGAAACATATTATGTTCAGGTTGTTTCATGATAAAAAACCAATTGATATCCTCTCAGAATACATTTTCTATCTACACGCCAATAATAATACATTCAAATGTGAAATGCGATCCAAAAATTGAACTGACACATCCAAATTCTATAGCAGAAATGATGGGGTTCGCTCATAGCATATTTTCACCAAATCAGATACATGAATCATCATTACCAATAAACATTACAACTGTGATACTTATCCGCTTGGATCGCATTATAATATCTGGTTCATATATAAGAATCCCACATTTTTTTCTCATTCAATATTGATGTTGAACCTGGATACAATCTTACAATCAGTCTAGAAGGTCGTCAATAGATTCACAACATTACAGTGCGTATTTTGAACACGCATTACTCAGTCACACGTCGTGGAGTGAACATCTCGCTCTCCTACCGTTGAACGGTTGCTGCTGTGACGTAACACCACTACTAACTTGGTGGGCTCACACCGATGGAACATTCATTACTTGAAGGATCTTTGAAGTATGCAGACGTTTGTTCGTAAACAGACACGCGCATGATAAACCCTGTACCGTGCATTCACACACACACACACACACCAAATGTAATTTCTTCATTATGTCACACACACACAAACAAAATCTCATATGAAAAAATTCTGAATGATCCATGCACCAGACACTTCAAGGTCACATTCCCTTGATTTCACAAAACACCAAAAAATGCAATTAATATGTCATAGTGGTGGGGAGGCTCAGAAACGGCTGTAATCTGCTACTAGCTCTTCTCTTCGAACAAACTTGGCTAAGTCCACCTCGAATCACTTGTTCAACAAATAGAAACATGTCAGGATCTGTCAGTAGTTCCAATTCAACTTTAGTATATTTGAGCATCGCATCCCACGTAAGGCCTGGTAGCGTATAGTAATGGGCAGGGTCTAGATTATGAGTCCTGAGGCAGTTAGCACAAAATTGTTCGAATATGTCAGCGAGGAGAAGGATATCTGTTTCCATATATGAATCCACATATTGTCCCAAAGTCTGACAATTCAAGTCTTCCACACATTCTGGGCTCGTTTATATAGTCTGCGGGGGCAGGGTTTATCTTCTAATTCGTTGTAGAAAGCATCAATAGGGAGCAAGCAAGCTTCATCAAATCTATCGGAAGAATCAATATGACCCCCTTCTCAGTGAGTAATTCAACCAAGTCTTCGTGTAACTTAGTGAACTGATCCTTCACATTAGGAAACTATGTCAAGTATGATGCTAACTAACATATCCCGAGATGAATTCATAAAGCGGAATGAATCGAAACTGCACTGGAGTATCATCCACATGTTTCGTGAAGGAACTACGTGGCTATCTTTATAGTTTATTTCACACCCTTCGTGCCCGGGGCCACGATAATTATCAAATGGTATGAGATGGTTATGGTCACGTTTTTCTTGTCTTCGGGAGTGAAGGGCTCTTCGCAGATGTGGCAGTGTGTAGCTCTTCGAAACTCAACTTTCTGCTCTACAGTCATATGGATGTCGTATGGACACCAAAACATTGTAGCCATATCTTCAGCTAGTTGACCCATATCATCAGCGAACCATATCATACAATTCTCTCCACGGTATGCCCTATAGAAGGATAGAGTTCACATGTTCATATGTCTAGCTTCCTTTTTCTTTGCGAGGTATGTAGGTAGGGTAATGAACATTTCACATTTCTTTCGAAGGATGTAAACATTGATAGAAATATCATTAAGTTTTTCAAATTTCGGAATTTGTCTAACAGTCATTGGGAAATGAATTCCTTCAAGTTTCAATGCTTTAGAATAATGAGGATATGATGAACGGTCAGCACTTTTCTGCACAGGATAAAGTGCTGAGATAACAGCCCATGCAACGCAGGACTGATCAGCCGAAGACGATTGTAGATACCAACAATCGAAACGTCGTGAACTAACGTGACTTGGAATCGCTACAGTTTTTTATTCTTTATTATTTTCTTTTTTCATTCCTTTAATTTTTATTTATTCAATTATTATATTTTTACTTGTAGGTTATTTCACTATCATTTTATTTCAGGTTTATTGTTGCTTAATATAATTGTTATTTTCAACTATTCTTTTTTAATTACTCTTTTTTACTTGTTTCAGGGATTTCAAATCATTTTATATAGTAGACAATGGAAGTCCGAACTAGTGAAATTCATCACGAAACATTGTCAATCACCTTCAAACAAAAATGTACTTAGATTTGGGAAATAATTATTATTTCATGTAAAGATGTGTATGTGAGTGTAAGAGCGAGAGACGCGTGTGACGTAATCGAGGCAAAGAGAGATGGAGATGGTATCGAGGTTTTACCGGTTGATAGCGCAAGCAGGTGTTGTAGGTTATACAAATCAATCGTTGTTTATGGGCAATGTAGCGTTGCCGGATACTTAGATTTGGGAAATAATTAACATTTCATGTGAAGATGTGTATGTGTATGTGTAAGACAGAGACGCGTGTGACGTAATCGAGGCAAAGTGAGATGGAGATGGTATCGAGGTTTTACGTTCCTATTGCAAGCAGGTGTTGCCGGTTATAAGATATGTCGTTGTTTATGGGGCAATGGAAATGAAGGGTTAGGAATACGACTGTGTACGGGTGTCTCAAAATACATCATAAAAAGAAAAAAAATGACGTCGAAGTGTACAGGATGCGTCAAAATACATCATTTGAGAAAAAAAACATGTCGGTTCACATGAGTATAGCGTTCCAACATGCCAGAAGGACACTAAGTCTCGTATCTTTGTTAACCAAGTTAGCATCATCAGGAGAAAGAGGAGATCAGTAAAGGAGCTAGGACAGTTTCAAATCAAAGCCCCATGTATTTTCTTATGGAGGTTCATTCTGACAATTTTGGATCCTGCGACCAATCAGAGCGCTCCAAATTGTCACGTGACCCAGACGCATCGTCGCGAGTACACCAATCACAGCGCTCCAAATTGTCACGTGACCCAGATGCATCGTCGCGAGTACACCACACTGGCGCCACCTATGAGTCACTAGCTGAACTATCTATTGGTTGAAGAAGGACACTGTAAACACTAATCCTAGCACCACCTATGAATCACTAGCTGAACTATCTATTGATTGAAGAATGACACTGTAAACACTAGACATATGTGTGTTGTCATGCGACGCAGTATGCCCAGTTGCCGGTTTTATGATGTATGTCAATACGGATCGGTGTATGTGCAATTGTCAAATGTCAATGAGGGTGTGGGACGGTGTCTGTGAGGGGGAAACGTCGGGGTGTTGCTAACTTCAGGGCTAACCTATCAGCGTCATCGAAATCGACGCAGGATGGAACGAGTATCATAGCGATTCAAGCATGAAACTCGGTCTCCTTGGGACTCCGCATCACCCCTCGGCCCCCTTGTCACGTTCCAGTCACGTGATTTTAATTAAAAAAAGTTTATAGTTATGAGATTCGAACCTGGATCGTCCGCGCCGTAGACATTGTCCTTGGCCTCTACACCATCTAAGATATTGAAGTTAACTGCGAATGTTGGGTATTTATAGCGTTAGTTTTGTCGGGACCGAAATTGACTCATTCATTATACTTGACAGCATTTTTATTTTTGATTTCCGTAGAATGTAATCGTCATTATCATATTGAAGATAGGAAAATATACTTAGATTTGGGAAATAATTAATATTTCATGTAAAGATGTGTAAGTGTGTGTAAGAGCGAGAGACGCGTGTGACGTAATCGATGCAAAGAGAGACGGAGATGGTATCGAGATTTACCGGTACACAGAGTCATCTATGAGTCACTAGCTGAACTATCTATTGGTTGAAGAAGGACACTGTAAACACTAGCCTCATAAGACTGCATCTGCTCAGATGTCAATACATGCCAGCATGGCAGGTTCGGCGTTGCCAGTTGTACAATAAATCATTATTTATGGGGCAATGTAGCGTTGCCGGTTTTGTGATTAATCGTGAACGACTCGATGAAAATTGGAAGCGTGAAAGTGATATATTAATAATAATGGATCAGATTGAAGAAAAAACATTACAGATTAATGAGGCTGTATCCTTTCAAAGTGTGATCCCTCAATGTTACAAGGTATCTGAAAATACATCATTGAAAACAAACATGGCGTCGAAGTGTACAGGGTGCGTCTAAATACATCATTTAAGAAAAAAACACAAGGCTGTAAGTTTTCAACGTGCGATCCCTCAATGTGTACAAGGTATCTCAAAATACATCATTGAAAAACAAATATGACGTCGAAGTGTACAGGGTGCGTCAAAATATATCATTTAAGGAAAAAAACATGTCGGTTTGAAATATGATATTGATGTGTATACAGGGCGTTTCAAAATACAGCATTTGAGAAAAAAACATGACGATTCAACAGAAGTCTAGCGTTCCAACATGTCGGAAGTCTCGTATCTTTATTAACCAAGTTAGCATCATCAGGAGAAGACCAGTTTACGTGCCTTTATTCGTTATCTTTCCATCGTTATTGTCGTAACGGTTTTTCGTGTTTCAATATGACAGTCATTTATCATTCAACGCGTTCCGCTAACCAAGTAAGCATCATCAGGAAATGACTAAAGTCCATGCTTTGTCATATGAAGATTCATTTTGCGAATTTTCAGACTCTTGAATGGAACCTTGTGTGGAATGGAACCAGAGTAGTGTCGTCGGCCAGCTAATCAGAATGGAGAAATCAAATATCGCTCGATTCATTGTGCTAGATGAAATTGAAGTGGAGAATGTGGGTCGAATAATAATAATAATAGTGATAAAACATTGAAACCCTGAAAGTGACGTAGTCAGCGTTGGAAGGGATGGCGTGTGTGATAATTTGTGAAAATTAATGAGTTATTACAAGAAATAATAGCACAACTGTCAGAAGGGCTCTAAGTTGTATATTTGCTAATAATGATCGGATCGTCGCGTACAGCACGTCAAATGAAAGGATAAGAAATGCAGAAGTCAACGACGAAGAAAAATCGAAGATGGCGCAACATGTCATAAGGGCACCAAGCCAAGTCTTTGTTAATGATAGTTGAATCTCAACGTGCAGTACATCACATGGAAGGGAAACGAATACAGAGTGTACCGACAGAGAAAAAGCGAAGATGGTGTAACGAATATAATATCCAACGCCTAATGTTGAATAGCAGAGGAAGAATTGCAAATTCAACAAACTTGGAATTGAAAAATGTTGGGTTATGAACAACTATAAGTTTATTCCAATTGCAGAAGCTTGATGTAAAACGCAGAATTTATTGACAAAGAAAATGAAAAAATCATTGGATACTGAAACATATGATATATTTGGATTCCTTGGGGTGAGAAGATTTCGAATTCATCAAAAAACGACCACTTCCGGTTTTCACTTCCGGTCCTCCGATTTTGATGATTTCAACATCAATGGATTCGTTTAGATGTCATGAAACATAATTAATCATTTGTCGAAGCCAAAAGGGCCTTATAACCTATTTTCATTATACTAGCAGCAACAGACCGAAGTGGGAACTCATTTCAAATGATTTCATTTGTAGATTATGAAAAGTATAATATACAGCGTCCAATGTGAAGTAGCATAGAAAGAATTGCACATTTAAAGAAAAACATTGAACATATTTGAAATTAAAAGTTGTTGGGTTATGAACAACTACGAGCGTAATGAAATTGTAGAAGATTTATTCAAAACACATGATTTGTTGACAAAAAAATGAAAAAATCATCGTATACTGAAACATATGGTATTTTTGGATTCCTTAGGATGAGAAGGTTTCGAATCCGTCAAAAACAGGTCACTTCCGGTTTTCACTTCCGGTCGTCCGATTCCGATGATTTCAACATCAATAGATTCATTTAGATGTCAAAAAACATAGTTAATCATTTTAAGAAGCCAAAAGGACCTCATAACCCATTTTCGCTATACTAGTCGCAACAGGTCGATGCGGGTACTCATTTCAAATGATTTAATGTGTAGACTATGAAAAATATAATATCGAGCGCCTTTTGTCAAACAGCATAGGAAGAATTGCAGAGAGAATCATTGAAAAAACTTCGGATCTCGTCACGTACATCATGTAAAATGAAAGAAGAAGAATTGCAGAATTCATCGACAACGAAAAAACAAATATGGTGCAACATGTCCGAAGGGCACTAACCCACATCTTCATTATTGATAGCTGAATCTCAACGTGCAGCACATCAAATGAAAGGGAAACGAATGCAGAATTCACCGACAGAGAAAAAGCAGATCTGACGCATTATGTCAGAAGGGCACAAAGCCACATTTTCGTTAATAATTGTCGAATCGTCACGTACAGCACGTCAAATGAAAGGGAAAGAAATGCAAAATTCATCGACAGAGAAAAAACAAAGATGGCGCAGTATGTCAGAGTGACACTAAGCAACATCTTTGTTAATGATAGTTGGATCTCAACGTGCAGCACATCAAATGAAAGGGAAACGAATGCAGAATTCATCACAGAGAAAAAAAAACGGAGACGATGCCAAGAGGGCACAAAGTTGTATCTTCACTAATAATAGTCGCATCATCACATGT